TCCTCATTTAAGGAAAATGCTGAAAAGATCCAGATCTATTCATCATGAAACTAGACCAGTTAAATGCTTAGACATTAGAGTCAAGGTTTCCTATGTGAAAAGCCCCATCCTCCTGTGTAGAATTTTTGACCTTGGGCAAGTTATTTTTCTCTGTTCCCTTATCTATATAAAGTGGAGACAGTGATAGTAATCTATGTCACAAGGTTATTGTCAGGATTAAATAAAATTTTACTATGTAGAATTGCATAGAACTGTGCCAAGCAATTAATGATTTGGTTGCTTAGCATTGTTACTACTACAAAAGGCTATTTTTTTTCCCCCTTTTCCCATTACAGATTCAGTTTTCTGAGCAAAACTGTTGAGGAGAACCATCAGCAGGATGGAGATGAGGATTCTCTTGTGTCACGTTTTTATACTAACCCCATTGCCAAACCCATCCCTCAAACCCCAGAAAGTGCTGTAAATAAGCACAACAGCAGTAGCAGTGTGGACGATACCATTGTTGCATTAAATATGCGGGTCGCTTTGAGAAACGGGCTAGAAGGAAGCAGTGAAGAGACCTCTTTCCATGAGGAGTCTTTGCAAGATGATCGAGAAGAAGTAGAAAATAATGCTTATCATATGCACCCGGCAGGTAAGGTTCAGATCCGTACATGATTATTCTTTGACCGTCCTATATCAAATCTCACTGATCACAGATTTTCAACAGCAAGAACCAGCTATCTGAACTTGTCAGTATTGTTATTATAGTTGGTAGAGGATACTATTGAAATACTTTCCACTTGTGCTTTAGGTGATTGCTAATTCACATACTTTTGGGACTTTGTGAAGTAGTTAAAATTGTTAAGTATTAATTGTTCTTTTGTAACTTAGAATTCAAAGTTTATTGCCAGAAAGGTAGAATTCAAATCCTGGCATGTTCTTATGTTTCTAAACTCATCTGTTTATTTATTAGTTTATTATTATTATTAAAATGAAAATAATTACTTCTTGTCATAGGCGGCTTGACAGATTTGAAGTAGATTAGGAGTTTGTACCACTATTGACTGACTTGTGTGCAGGCACTGAAGTGATAGCTGTTGCAGTGGTTATTTGATATCATCTTAGTATTTTTTCCAACAAAGGCAAAGCCATTAAATAGGATCTTGGGGTCTTAAAACTTATGTTTTCTATGGTGCTGTTTTCATGTTGGCATCATATTCTTATATTTGTTTTTTAAATTTTGTTATTGAAAACAATTACATGTAAGTAAATTACATAGATCTGACATTTTGCCGCCTTTACACACACACACACACACACACACACACACACACACACACACGAGTTTTTCCTTTCAGTTGTCTAGTACC